AATAAAAGTGTTGTTGATTTAACTCAAGACAATAATAAAGTCAATGATGGCAATGATAATAAAGCCGATGATAGCAATGATAATAGTGACAATCTGTATGAAGATAATGATAAAATTAATAACAGTTTGATGAACAAGAATAGTTGGAATGAAGATGATGAAAATGATAGAAATGAAGCTGAAGAAAATAGTTGGAATAAAGGTTGAAAAAGATTGAATCAAAGATCAGAGTGAAAATCAAAATGAAGATTGGAATAAAAATCAAAATAAATATTGGAATAAAGATTGAAACAAAAATCAAAATGAAGATTGAAATGAAAATCAGAATAGATATTGGAATAAAGGTTGGAATAAAAATCCAAATGAAAATTGAAATGAAATCTAAATGAAAATTAAAATAAAGGTTTGAATAAAAGTAACACTGATAATTCAAGTTATTTAGATGAACAATTTAACTTGAATAAAGAAAATTATTATGATGAAGAAATAAATATATATTATAATAATGAAGTAGTTAACTATACTAATTCATGAGATTAAAACCTTTCAAAACTATAATATGAATAATACTTGGATGGTAAGTAAATATATATAAAATTACTTGCAAATTTAAACAAATCATTGAAAAATAACCAAATAAAATAGATATGTGAAGGATCTTTAAATACTAAGTAATCAAAGAGTAATAGCGTATATAAATTCACTTGCTAATATAAATAAAATAATTGGCATTAGATCTATTGCATAACAATCTTATACATTATATATTTCCTAATTATTCTTAAAAATAACTTTCTACATTTACTTTACTTTATATATTTTTTTATTGATAATTACTTTTTCTAAAATTATTTCTCTTACAAACTCAAATTATTAAATCGTTTATATCAACAACTTTGAACCAAATAATGCACTATCGCTATTATTAAGGTATATTAAGAAACTTATCATATAATGCACAATATGAAAAATCACTACAGATTTGAACAGGTCAAATGAATATATTAATATTAAAAAGACTTGAGAGACTTAATATATTATGAGCAAATATAAAAAGTTTTTGCAAACTTAGATTAGCCTAAGTGTAGAAAAATTTATTGTATTAGAGAAATCTTTTTCTAGCTAAACATATACTCAGTAGTTTAAATTTTGTAATACTATAGTAAATAAATATGCATTATATAAATATTGATAATGATAATAGAAATTGAATAACTATATTGAAACATTACTTATATATATAGAGGGACTGTCTAAAGCCAGGTGCATTCACATGACCAACAGCCAATCAAAATATGAATTTTGATTAACCCGGATCAGCCCGACGAGACAAAAACAAAGAAAAAAAAGTGAAAAATGCCGAAAATACAAGAAACGTGTGTCTTAATCTGTCTTGAAGCACTAATAAAAAATGTCGGGAAGACAATTTTACCTATAAAAGCTGCTCCAACCCTAACCACTAACCAACCCTTACCCTAATTTTAATTAAATAATCAAAAACATATGAATGCACCGGGCTTTAGCCATCCCCTATATAGAGGTGAATCAATAGAAATTAAGCAAATTTTTTATAATAAAATTTTTTTATAACTTTAAACAGGAATAACTTGATGAAACCTTGACCAAATTTAATAAAAATTTTTTCAAATAATTTTTACAAACTTGTAAAATTATTTTAAAAAAAAATTTATTGAATTTGATCAAGTTTTTGTTAAGTTATTCTTGTTTAAAATTTTTAAAAAACTAATTAAAAAATATTTGCTTGGTTTCTATTGACTCAACCCCATATGGATACTGTATTGCTAACCATTGTTTATTATTAACATTAATGATACACGTATTTATTTATTAAGTTTAAAGATTATATTCGTTTAGAAGGTGAAAAGTGCAAATTACTTGGAATCAGTGTTGAAAATTCGGCACAAAAATTTTGTGCAAGAAAATTTTTTTATACATGAATGTTATTTTATTTTTTGTGCATTTGCTGTTAATTTTGTGCAAATAACAATACGTGCACAACGAATTTTTAACACTGCTTGGAATTACTCAAAATACATCCACCTGTGAATATATGATAGTGTTTGAAGAGTTTTATGAGAATAGAACCTCCTATAATTGATTAAGCACATGTTGTAACCGATATAACACATTTCCAGCTTGGTGTCAAACGTGTGATCCCCCAAGAACAACGCAAGGATGGACAAGCAGAAATGATGATATTGACAATTATATTAAGAGACTTCAACTTGGAACTATAAAATATGATGAGGCTATTGAATGGATTCCTTTTGATATATTAGATTTTGTAAGCAATATAAGTGAGGAAAAAGTTGGCACAGAACTTTCAACAATTTGGTTAGATGGGATACGAACAGTTTCAAATGCTGCACAATCACGCATCCCATCATACTTAGTTACACTTAAAACATTCCCTGATTCAAAAATGAATCCTGTTGACTTTTTAAAGGAAGTAAGTTCGAACAATTAATGTCATTGTTGCTTTTTTTTTTTTTTTTGAATTTATTACTAAATTAATTATTTAAAGTTTAAAAATTACATACAACTAAACAAGAATGAAGTTAAAATATATGGAATAACACAGAATACTGCTACAAATGAATTTATGATAATACTTGAGACGTCTCTTAAAAGAAATTCTAATTATGGAAAATGTACAGATTGTGAACGTTTCAATACTTCAAAAGCTTGGTGTCAATCGTGTGATCCTTGGAAAGCGGTAAAGGGCGGACAAGTGGGAATAATGATATTGATAGTTGTATTAAAGAATTTCAATTTGAAGCTACAGAGTACGAAAAAGTAATTTAATGGATTCTTTTCAACAGGTTGGATAGTGTTCAGGAGATTGCACAGGGAGTATTCGGACATGTATTTTCAGCAACTTGGTTAGACGGCAAACGAAAGCTATTTATATGATGGAGAGAAATATATACAGTCCCGTATGGAACAAAATATAGTCGCACTTTAAACTTTACCCGGTTCTCAAACAAGTTCTACTGAATTTTTATGAGAAGTTAATTAATTTTAATTAATTTCGCGTATCTAATATAAAATTATTTACAAAATTTTTTTATTTAATAAGTTTAAAAACCATATGAAATGCAGATTGACGGGCAGTAGACTCGAGATATATGGGCTAACTCAAAATAATGGCACAAATCAATATTTAATGGTATTTCAGTATTTGAATAGCGGGAATCTTCGTCAATATTTGAGGGAAAATTTTAAAAAACTTACATGGAAAGATAAATTATTGCGACTAACAAACATATCAAAAGATTTAATTCAAATCCATGAGGCAGGATATATTCATTGTGATTTTCACAATGGTAACATTCTGCAACATAAAGAGGAATTATGGCTTTATTACGGATTTAGGGTTGTCTCGAAACAATGAAGGATCTGCATCAAGAAAAGGAATCTGTGGAGTTTTGCCCTATATTGCACCAGAAGTTTTGTTAGGCGAAAATTTACACAAGCAGCAGACATATATGGTTTGGGGTTGTTATGGCTGAAATAACCACCGGAATTCCACCATTTGATAACTATTTGTTTGATAATGATTTAGCGGTAAAAATTTGCGGCGGATTAAGACCAATAATTACATCAGAAACGCCTGATTGCTATACCAAATTAGCAGAATCATGTATGAACTCAGATCCGAAAAAGCGGCCTACAGCGAAAATGCTTTATGGTTTTATGAATGAGCAAGATATGGCTGTCGAAATGGATACGGACGACGAAATGGATAATGAATCAGAAGAATTAGATGAGAAATCAGAAATAATTAATAAATTTTAGGAAGCAGATGAAATAATTAAACAACTACCAATTACAACACGAAAAAATTTAGATAGTATATATACTAGTGATGCCTGCTGCAAAGTCGCAATTTAATATTTACAGCTTATTTATGTTGTAATTATTACAAAATAAGGCATAAATATTATATTACCGATGTCCCACTCTACGTATTGCGACGATAAGTTACAACCCTAGTGGCGCAGTAAAAAGTCGCACTTCATATTTGCAGCAAGCAATACTAATATACAAGCCAGTTTATTGACGTTAACGAAATTCTCAACGATTCAGTGAAGAAGTTAAGTCGGGTAATGTTGCTGGTAAATATGTATTCTGTAAAATTTATCTCGATATTTTAAGTACTAATTTTATAATATTCGTTTATATTTTAGATTCAGAGCTTATTAACCTATATATTAAGTCATAAATTTAAGTTATTTATCATTATATATATTTTATTATTCATATTATTTTGATTGATTGCCACAAATTTTATTAGTATTTTACACTTGCTATTAAATGCTCTTAATTGTATAAAATTCAAGTTTAATTTAAAATTTTTTGGGAACCGTTTAACCGCATAAAAATTTTTTTATAGTTCCGGGCCGAATTATGTTGATCATGGGCCAGGTCAATTTTAATGATTTTTAATGCCGTTTGAATTAAAAGGTTAATACGGTTAAACGATTAAACAAGAAAATTTTAGACGGTTTCAATCCTTAATTATAAATTAATGTTCGCAGAATAAATTTATTTGCAAAATGGCCTTAAGTGTATGTTCAATTTTATTACTCATTATATCTTCCAATAAGAGCAGCTATTTGTGTCAATGTTTACATATAATAACTAAATATGGACAAAGTTGGCACAATAATAATTTTCAATTATACAATAGACGATGTGCGACTAGGACCAAATTCTGAATGGTTAAGAAAAATTCTGCGATGTATTGTACCGTTTTTCTACGTAGTTCTAAATTAAACCACTGTTAAATCCATTCGTTATTTGAGTACATCTGCTTACACACTATATCTCTAATGGTATAAAATATATTTGATATTGCACAAGAAAGTATATATTCAAAGAAAAAAAACAAAAGCCTATGCGTGATTTATCGTCGTTATAAGAAATTAATCAGACGGTTTTCTCATTATTAGCCAGGGACACATTGGTCACGGTAGTCAATTAATTCTTTTCAATTTCTTGTTTTTTTCCCTTAATTTGTCATTTTCTTCTTTTAACCGGTTTATCTCATGTCCTTTTTCTTCGTATTTCATCCACGCAAATTGAATGTCCTTTTTATTTCGAGGTTTGATTTGGGTTTTCTTATATATATTTCTCTATTAAATTGTTATTATTAGTATAACTCTTTTGTTGTTGTTTTTTTTAATTATTTTTACTTTACCCCGACATGATCTTTCTTCTTTTCTCCCTTTTATATACACATATATATTATTAGTATGACTAATAAATTACGCGTAAAATATCGAACCAGGAAATATATTATTCTTACCTTGCGTATAATGGTTCTCGTGGCATCTTTTGTTCGTAAAAGTAGTACTATACACGCAGGAAAGACTTGTGAAGAGATTTATGAAATAACACGAAATTCTGGAATCTTCGAACGCGGTGAGGAAATGTACATCATATTAAATAACTGATATCAGATCCTCACCTACCGTGAGCGCTCGAAGATTTCAGAATCTCGTGTTGTTACATAATTCTCTTTCACAATTCTTTCCCGTGTGTATAGTGCTACTTTTTTTACTTTTACGAACAAAAGATGCCACGAGAACCAAAATATGCAAAGTAAGAATAATATATTTCCTGGTTCTATCATTAGTCATACTAATAATATATATATGTATATAAAAGGGAGAAAAGAAGAAAGATATTGACGGGGTAAAGTAAAAATAATTTTTAAAAAAAAGGAAAAAATAAAAATTTAATAGACTATATCTTGTAAAAAAAACCGAAACATGAAAGATTTAAAGTTCTTCTGGCAGAAGTACAATGAAAGAGATGAAGAAATAAAAAAGTTAAACGAAGAAAATATTAAACTTAAAGAGGAAAATAAGAAATTAAATGAATCACTCGGCTACTTGGAGAGGGTGACAAACATGTTTCTAGACTCAATGAATTCAACGCGTAAGCCTTTGACATCACAAAAAGTTGTTTTTTTTTCTTTCTTTTTTGCATATATACTGAGTCAAACTTTCTTGTGTAATTTATATCAAATATACTTTATATCATTAGAGATATAGTGTGTAAACGATATACTCAAACGAAGAAGTGATCCAATATCTTAATTTCGCATTAAGGTTTTTGTTAGCATTATAAAAAAATTATAGAATATTTCAATAAAAAGAAGGATCACATTTTGCTTTTATCTGTAACGCTCTAGATCTGCCTAAGATCTCGACAAACTGTTTCTTTACTTTTTTTCGATACTCTTTCACAAATGTACAGTACTTATCGTTATAATGTATCTGAAAGGATTTATATAAAAAAATATATTTACTAGCTTCAATTAATGTGGTTCCACTGGACTGAACGATCCAATCCAGTGCACTTTCTCTGTGGGTTAAGTGCCTCGTAATAAACCGCATATTGATTATTAGCATGTCCGAGATTTAATTTCACTTTTTGTGAATAAAGAATGGAACTTTTTATAGCGTAAAAATTGTTACATAGTTCTGGGCCAAATTTAAATTAATACCAGATTGATTGGAAGAATTTAGGCTGCTCCAATCTCTAATTGTTTTTAATAAATGTATAAAACGAAAAAAAATAAATAAATAAAAATAAAAATCGCAAACACATTTCAATATACTCTTCAAATATGTTTATTACTTTCGTTTATGGATGCTCCTTTAAACAAACCGTTAACCAACCCTTTCTTCACTATATAATTTTATATTAATAAAAAATATAAACAAATTCATTTTTTTAAAAAAAACTTACAAAATAACAAATTATAAAAATTATTAACATGCGCCCTGTTGCTCATTACGCACCCAGCCTATACGTTCTATTGAAATTTCTATTAGTCTTATTTTGTGTATCATACTATATTGCGTCTCTCTTAACTCTTAATTAGTTACGTTCACTATACCAGACTAAATCTAAATTTAACCCCACGACGATTTTGTGCCACACGACAAAAAATCGTAACTCAAATTTTGCATTGTATATTTTTTTACTTTATTTACTCATTTTAATAAAACACCCTCATCCTGGTTATAACGCTATTACGTCGCGTATTTGCGTGTAATACGTAACGCGCAGGGGTGTAATTTAGCTTAATTCGGACCGTGGCTCAAAATAACGCCCTGATCCACTATGCGCAAATACGGTATCTAATTTCGAAATAAAATGAACCTTTGTCTAAATCTTTTTTCTAATTTACAGCATCGATTCAATCAAAGTAATATGGTTAATAAAAAATAAATCATAAAAATTAAATTTTATGATTTAAAACAGGTTAATAAGCTCTGAACCTAAAAATAAATTATAATTAAAAAGTTAGTCCTTAAATATCGATAAAATTCTAGATAAATTTTTTGGAACTGATACGTGAATATGTAACATTTGAAAAGTTCGATATTCATCTTTAATAAGCTAATTCAAATCGAATCTTCTTCGATATCCTCATTTTCCACTTGCCCATTCCTGCATTGTTCTTGGAGATCACATGTTTGGTACCAAAGCTGGAGCATGCTCTGTTATGATAAATTTCATCAAATACTATATAGTTATTGGATGCGAAGCAGCCAATAACTCGAGTTATTTTGGCAGCACAATCATAATAGGCTACCGGATAATATCATATATTCATACTATAGGTGGATATATTTTGTGTATTTTGTGTAATACAGTATATAATTACTTTTAAGATTAAATCTAATCAAATCAGTTCACATACAAGTTTATTTTACAGAAAATTATTTCAGTCAGTTTATTAGAATTAGGGCAGGCTATAGTTTATGTAAGGAATAATGTGTCAACGGTGATATTCACTTCACCGACAATCATTTCACCAACAACAGTCGTTTAGCCGGTATCACATAGGTTAGGGTTGGCATTTGATTATTTGCAGGTGTATATTTTTAGTAAATAAGTCGTCATTTGGCATGATGTCAATGAAATAAACCGTCTATAATGAATGATCATCTGTAAAATAATTTTTGACGAAATGACGTAGACTTCCAGTAACACGAGAATTTACGTATATCGATCTTGATATCGACACGCATATCTTATTAACGATACATTAAAGGAATTACGTAAGCAAATAAATTTTTATTTGAATCATTGTAAATTTCTATGATGTGAAAAAAACAAAAATACCAACTAAGTTACGTTACAGTAAATGTTTACTAAAGAATTGTATCTAACAGATAGTTTTTTTTGATAAAGTCCTTCAGAATTACAGTAAAATTTTATAAAAAAAAAAACCGAAAAAAAAAATCTAAAATAAAAAAAAAAAGTAGAAAGAATATAACTAGAAACACTCTCTGTATCGTAGAGAGGGATCAGCGGGGGTAGTAGTATTTTCAGAGATCGAAGGACGAGAACTTGTATTAGCAGAAGTAGTATCACAATAATAATGAAAAGCGTCAATTTGATCTTGAGTTAAAGAAGGAGGTAAAGTAGAAGGAGAAGTAGGAGGAGGTAATTGTATAGTCATAATTCCAGAGATACCATTAGTTAAAGTAGAATTATCATGAGGAAGAGTAATATCCAAAGCAGAAATATCAGTAGTATTATTCAAGATATTAGTAGTAGATTTTCTTGATCTTCTTGGATTAGATTTGGTATGAGTTTTATAATGAGCGGCAAAATTATCAGATCTCCCAAATTTTTTACCGCAACCAGGATAATGACAAGTATATTTACGTTCACCAGTATGAGTAATCATATGACGTTTTAAATGTTCTAAACGTTTAAAACTCCAAGTACAACCAGGCCAATCACATTTATGTCTGTTACGCGAAACGGAAGAGGATGATGGAGGAGAATTAAGATTAGGAGAGGGATTAGGGGAATTTACAGGATAAGAAATGCGAGGAATGATAGAATCAGAAAAATGGGAGGAAGAAGAGGAAGAAGAAAAGGCTATATGATTATTATTATTAGAAAATGGTACCATATACATATGATTTTGATTATTTAATGAAGCAGAAGGAAGAAGATGATGAGGGGTTGGGGCATGTAAAGAAAAGATTGGCATCATCCAATTATTAATGATTGGTTGAGTAGGATCTCGTGATTGTAGCGGAGGATAAAATTGATAGGTTCTACGAAATCGAGATGGATCAATTGGAGTTGTAGATGAGTTCACTTGATTTGGAGTTGGAGCAATTAACCGTGGTTTAGATTCTGATAAAGATTAGATTGAATTTTAGATAGAGTTTTAGATAAGAAACAAGTTTTTTGATAAGTTCGATGTATTTGATGTATTTGATGTATTTGATGTGTTTGATGTGTTTGATGAGCGAATAAATTATATTAACCGAATGAGGATAATAATCGAGAAGAAATACAATTATTAAGCTTCTTACCCATTATTAAATTCTCCAAATATAGCTAGAATATAACTAGAATATAACTAGAATATAACCGATGAAATATAGTTAAAAAAAATAGTTAAAAAAGATGTTGATATAGATTTTAGGAAAATCACGAGGATTTCTTGTTTCCTTACCTTGGCTAGTAAAAAAATATAAGAAACGCGACGAAGAGATATAAGTGATACAACAGAAGATATAAGATCGTCACGGAAAAATAAAGGAGGAAATCCTTCACTACACGAACCAACAATGAAGGGGGATATACGAAGGATAAACACGGGCAAGGGGCTTTGTCACATTTATTTTCTTGAAAAAACCGAAGGTAAAAAAAAAAAAAGAAAACCGAACCTAACCTAAAACACAGCGGAAAAATATTTCACGGATTATTATATATATATTTTTTTCTTGTGGTAGAAACAAAAAGGCAATAATAATGATTATAGGAATGAAGGTTGAAACACAAGAAAAAAAATAGCACAAGAGAAGATAAACGAAGAGGAAGAATATAAGGAAAGATCACTGAATAAAGGAGAAAAGCTAAAGGAGAAGTGGGAGGAGTAAAAATAATGTGAGGGAACACAGAGATCTAATCTCTATTTAAATTGAATTCTCGAAGCATTTTTACAAAAAAAAAAATTCACAGGCTCAATAGATATTCTTATTGATTGGTTTAATTAGTAACGAATGTGCGAATATACAGTACAAGAGCCGAGTCTTTTGATAAAATGTTTCATGCTTATTTTAAGTGATCAATTTGGTGATTCTTTTGTGTGTTGTGCACCGGTTTTACAAATGAAACAATTTAACAATGGAGTTCTTATCCAAGTTCCGTGATCTAATTGTAAAATCTAATTGTATTCAATCTAATTTGCAAATTCTAATTTGTTTGTTATCGATTAAACTCTTGATCTCAATTATCTCAATTTACTATTTCTTTATTATCTCAATTATCCCAATTAGTAGTATCATGAGTGAAAATCAAATTCGTTGAATAAGGGTCTTTAATTATACTAGAATTGTAAAATTAAAATGAAGGCGGAAATCTACTATCTGTGATTTGCAGAATGAATAATGAGTAGGATCTGGTATGGATCATACCGAGAAAGGGGTGAGAACAAAGTATGTTAATTTTAATATATTATAACTTTGTGTGCGCACTCAAACGTAATAAGAGAATTTTAAATTGATTCTTGGCTAAATCGAGTAAGAATTTTTTTGACGTGTGATGTTTTAAACTTGTGAAATTCATTTTATCCAATCAATGAATTCATAATCTTTATTCTTGCCTTTTCTTATATAATAATTCAAAAAAAAAAAATTCATTTAATTTTTTAGTATAAAAGGATACCAAAAATAAACATCTATATTTAACCAAATAGCCCATAACATTTTGAACTGAATTTTTTAAATTACTTTCATCATTCAATCATTCGTGTGTTATATATATTTTTTTCTTCATTTATCATTACTACTTATGACATTTAATTCTGTAATTTATTATAAGAATTTGATTACTTTTTGCCATTTATGCGATTTTATATTTAAGTCTGTTCATTATCATTATGCATTTCCTCTCCTATCATCTGGGATTTACTAATTTTGCTTCTTTGCTGTGTTTCCGATTGGTCGCATTATGATGATTTATTCACTTGACAAACTTCTGCAACCAATAAGCTATTAGCTGTCAAGTTGAATATAACTTGTTCGTTTTCGTTCATGTACTTCTGCGCTTAATACTGTAATAACTTGATACCAGATACGTACCTTGGCACGTACATACATATGTGGATACACTGATCTCCATTAATCACGTGGGTACTATCATTCTACGTATTGTTTTGTTAATTACGTTCATTTATTTTATTTTTATTAAATAAAATTTTGCATTTGGTATTCTTGACCAATTTTGTATATTGTCATATACTTCTATATACTATATATATAAATATCTACGAAAAAAAAATCGTTATACGTTATCGTTATATATTACTGTATTACTTATTTATCGTTATGTAAATTCAGTACTTGTAGACGCATAGCGATTATCAATATGTGTTAAACAGATCTAAAATCCTGTTCTAATCCAGAAATCTAGTTAATCAATGGTGTATATCGATATATATATTTAAGTACTTAGATATATATACAGTATGTATTTGATTTGTTTTTATCGACACACGTCATTACAAATTTTTACACGTATAAAAAATTTATGAATTATAACTTGTCTCTTTCTATTTTTGCTTTCTTTTAATGTTGATAAAAAAATGGATCAAAATTATGAAGATTGGGACGATAGTAATAGTGTTACTTCATATTATGGTAAATAAAAAAATTTTTTTTTTTTGCTTACTCTTTTTTTTTATGGAGGTTTTTCCGATCTTGTCTTACTAACTTAATCAAAATTTTTTTTATTAACCTTTAAAAATTTTATCATTTGTGTGAATGTTCTTTTTTTTAAAAAAAAAGTAACCCCACCTACATCTCCAATTATACAACCTGTTAATAATGCAGATGAGACAAAGAATTTTTTTCAAAACAATGTCAATATCAATTTGTCTTCATTATCAGATTTAATGGCTGAACAAATATCATTATGGTGTGATTCTTCTTCTACTTCACAGCAACCGAATCAACTGAATAAAGACAATGATATTTTGATTTCTTTAAATGATGATGATTATTCAACGGCGAATGTGAATGATGATAAATTGATTTTTGACAATAGAATTAACAATAATAAGACTAATAATATTGGTGATAGTATTGACGATATGATTAAGAGTGTGATTATTGATGATACAGTTTCCCATCAGGATGAAGTTCGTCATAATGTTGATTCGGTGTATACCCAACCTACAAATTTGAAAAATTTACCAACTATTTCTACAATATCCTTAACTTCTCTTGAATATCTTACTTCTTTAAATACTTCTAAGCCTACTACTTCTTCTGAAACCCTATCTTCATCATCTTCTTCAACTACTACAACCTCCATACAACCTCAGATAGTTTCAAAAGTTGATATTTCTCAATGTCATTTTAGTTATATGAACGATTCTCATCAAACTATCATATATGCCAGCTATCAAGGTGATTTGGCATTTTTGTATAAAGTTGGTGGTGATTTGAATCTAAATGGTGGCGGTGAAATCTCTTGTTGCCTTAATGGGATGTCTGATGAAATTTCTATCCCATTTGATCAATTATGTGGATTTAAGATTACTTCTGAAAAAAAAATTTTTATAAAATTTAAGCCGAATTTTAAAAGAACTGTATGTTAAAGTTTTATTTCTATTATTATTGTTGTTATAACAACAACAACAATAATAATAATAATAAATTATTATTATTATTATTATTATTATTATTATTATTATTATTATTATTGTTATTATTATTATTATTATTATTATTATTATTATTATTATTAATGGAACTCTCCCCGTTTATCACTCGTACACAAACTCTCTCCAAACTAATTAATTAAAAAACAGCTTATAACTTTTCTTTTTACTAAGTTA